GGCGCCCTCGATGCCTGCGGCTCCTCCCGGGGTTCGTGACTGGCTGCACCCGCGCCCCCCCCCGCTCATGGCGCCGGGGCGCCCCTTATTCGGTGTCCCCCTCCTTTCCCGGGTGGCTCTGGCCTTCCCCGACCCCCGGATCCCGCCTTACCCCCCATTGCTCCTCAACACCCCAGATCTTTTCCCAACACCCCGAATTCCTTCCCAACACCTCGAAGTCCACCCCACCCTCCCGGACCCGTCCCCGACACCCCCGTTCCTCCCCAGCGATCTCCCTCCGGCTGCCTGGACTCCTCCCAACACCCAGCAGCCCTCCCGACAACCTGGATTTCTCCCCTACATCTGGTACCTCCCCCCCCCACCCTCCCGCTAATTCCTGCCCAGTACCACCCCCTTTCCCCACCCCCTCCCCATGCTTCTGATTTCCTCGGAGAGCTTGGAGCCCCCTTCCCCAGCCGCGGTCCTTCCTGCCCCGCAAGCCCCGCCTCTCCCGCTCGCCCCGCCCCTTCGGGCCCTGAAGCTACTTTTCCCAGGGGCTCCAGGAACCCCCTCCCACGGGGGTTCCCTGCCTCCCCAGCCCGGCGCCGGCGCCCCCGCCCCTTCCCATGGGGTACGGGGTGGCCGGGTGGGTCCTCACCTCGGAGCCCCTGCGGGTGGGCCGGGTAGTGGCTGCGGGCACCGTTCTGACCTGGGGGGTCCCGGGTCCCTGTGGCTGAAGTAAGAGGTCGGGAAGGGGCCACCGCGGGACACCCACCCGAGCTGGAGGCCTGGGGCGGGTGGGATGGGGCCTCAACCTGCCTGCGCCCGGCTCCTCCTCCGAATGGGGGGCGGTGGGGGGGGGGTTCGTCCTTGAACGGGCATTTCCGGCGAAGCTGCCGCGTGCAAGGACAGCTGGCCAGTGTGCTGGGCACGTAGTAGGGGCAAAGCAGTGCCCTCACGGAGCCCTTAGTCAAGACAAGCCAGCCAAGCAAGGTGACGTTTGCCCAGTGCAGAGAATGGATTTCTAGCGGCTTCTCCACTGGCCTGGCGTGCGGGTTCCTCAGTTCCAGGCTTCCAAGGCGCCGGCACATAGTAGGTCCTCAGGGCATAAGGGCAGGAACCCTGGAGCCAGGCTTCTGGTTTCAGTCCCTGTCCCTTTACTTTCCACCTGTGTGACCCAGGGCAAGGAGCTCTGCCTCTCTGGGTGTAAACAGGCAGCCAACACAGCCCTCACTTCCAGGGCTGTCATGGGCTTTTCAGTATCTGCTCCCTAGTAGGTGATCAGGAAACACGTGTTGAACAAATGCCCCTTCAGTCTCCTGCACGTTTTTCAGGAACATTCTAGATACATTTTGCCTTCCGTGTCTTGTCACATTTCTTTTTTTTAATAACATTTTTTAACGTTCATTCCATTTTGAAGGACAGAGAGACACAGAGTGCAAGCAGGAGAGCGGCAGAGAGAGAGACACACACACACAGAATCGGAAGCAGCTCCAGGCTCCGAGCTGTCAGCACAGAGCCTGACACAGGGCTTGAACCCACAGACTGTGAGATCATGACCTGAGCCGAGTTGGACACTTAACTGACTGAGCCACCCAGCCACCCCTATAAATTTTTTTAAAAATTTTATTCATTTATTTTGAGAGAGAGAGTGGGAGAAGGGCAGAGAGGGAGAGAGAGAGAATTCCAAGCAGGCTCCGCACAGTCAGCATGGAGCTGGATGCGGGGCTCCAACTCATGAACCATGAGATCATGACCTGAGCCGAAATCAAGGTGCCACCCAGGGGCCCCTGTAACATTTCTTAATTAGCCCGAAGGAGCGAATCACGCCTCTACTGTGTGTCAGTCCCGGGGAGAGCAGATTAGACTTTTTGTCCTGCTGGGGAGAGGAGTCAGCAGGAAGCATTTATTGAGCACCTACTGTGTGCCAGGTGCTGTTCCGTCCAGTCACTATTAAGTACCTACTGTGTACCAGTCCTTAGATAGCTGTGTAACCAGACAATTGCATGTCCCTGTCTTGCGGTGCTCACTCAGTGATGCGTGTTCCACAAAGTAGGTAAAAGCTGTAGTGTCGGGTAAGGCAAAGAACCAAGCAGGGAGTGTGGGGGATGGGCTTCAGGTTTAGGCAGGGGCGCCAAGGTTGACCTTGACGAGGCAGTGACGTTTGAGCTGAGATCTGAAGGCGACAAGGGAGCCCGCCATGCGGGTATCTGGGGAAGGGTGTCCTAGGCCGAGGAACAGCTCATGCAAAGGCCCTGACACAGGATCAGGGAGGCGTGTTTAAGGAACAGTGTGGCCGGATCCGAGGGAGCAAGGGGGAGTGGAAGGAGGTGAGGTCAGGGAAGGGACCGGGGATGGGGGTGGGGGAGGGGGACTTGGTCCAAGGAGCCACGCCTGAGATGCCTGATTTCTCCCTCCTGACCACCAAGCAGCCCCTTATTTTCTGTCTAGAACATTCAGGACAAAAGCCCAGGTACCCTCCTTGCCTCCCCTGCTCCTCTCCCTTTCTCCAGATTGTCCACAACCGCCCCCCTCACATCCTTGAGACCCCCCACCTGGTCCAGCCCCCATCATTGCTGGGCGGGGCCAGTGGTCAGCGCCACCCCGACCCAGGCTCCTCCCCCTGCTCCCCACAGTCATTCTTCCGGAAGCGGCCACTGGAGGGCGCCTCTGAGCCCCTGAGCCAGGTCCCCCTCCCCTCTGCCCACAGGCCTCCGGAGCCCCCACCCCATTCAGGGAGCCCAAGTTCAAGGCCCGGAAGGGCCTGCGCCCCTTTCTTTTCTCTCCCGCTCATACACTCTGCTCCAGGCACACGGGCCGCCGCCCTGCTGCTGCAACACGCCGGACTCTGCACCAGGACCTTTGCACTTGCTGCTGCTTTCGCCTGAAACTCTTTGCCCCCAGATCTTCGCCTGAGTCGCTCTCTTACCTCCTTCAGGTCTCCACCAGCGTGTCCTTTCCCGCCAGCGGCCTCCCTTGCTCTTCAGTCTCCTATTCCTCCCAGCCGCGCCCCGGGTGCGTTTTCTTCGGCACTTTTCCATTCTCTGCAGCTTATCATTGGTCTCCCCCACCTAGACTGCGAGCGCTGCCCCCCTGGGGCCGCAAGGGCAGCCCTTTGTCCATACGAGGTGCTCCAGAGAGATTTGCCCAGTGCGTGAAGAGACATCTAGGACTGCGGGGGAGGAGAGGAGGCGATGGGCAGGAGCCACGTGTGGGTAAAAATGTTTTAAAAGAGGAAGAGGAAAGGGGCACCCGGTGGTTCGGTCAGTTTAGTGTCAGACTTGGGCTCAGGTCATGATTGCGGTGTGTGGGGTGTGGGTTCGAGCCCCGCCGTCCGCCCTGTGCTGACAGCTCGGAGCCTGGAGCTGCTTCCCATTCTGTCTCCCTCTCTCTGCCCCTCTCCCGCTCACACTCTGTCTCTCAAAAATAAAGAAACATTAAGAAAATTCTTTTTTAAAAAAGGTTGGAAACATCGGTGCCCCGTAGCTGTCCTGCCAGCCATTAGTCACGTTTGTCCCTCTGCGGAGTAGGGGGAAGTCACATCCCCGGTTCTGGTCAAACTGTGTCTGTAAAGGGCCAGAGAGCGGGTGTTTTCAGCTCGCAGGCAGGCCACGCGGTCACTGCCACTGCCGCAGCCACTCGACTCCGCAGCCGTAGTTTGAAGGCGGCCACGCGCTGTGTGTACCTCGGTGGGCGTGGCTGTGTGGCAAGAACGTGATTTACTGAAACAGCCAGTGACCCCTGGCCTGGGCAGTTATCCGTAGTGTCAGGAGAGCAAGCCTTTGTTTGTTTAAACTAATCTCTGCCTGACTTGGGGCTTGAACTCAGTCGCACACTGTACCGCCTGAGCCAGCCAGATGCCCCCATCATCAGGCCAGTCTTGATTTTTACAATCTGCAGAAGGGTAGGGAGTGAGCTGTGGGGATTCTCAGGAAAAGTGTTGCAGGCAGAGAGGGCAGCCAGTGTAAAGGTCCTGAGGCAGGACTGTGCCTGGCAAGTTTGAGATCAGTGGCCTTCAGAGGAGGCACTAGATTGGGGGCATCTGGGTGGCTCGGTCGGTTAAGCTCCCGACTTCGGCTCAGGACATGATCTCGCGGTTCGTGGGTTCGAGCCCTGCGGTGGGCTCTGTGCTGACAGCTCGGAGCCTGGAGATGCTTTGGATTCTGTGTCTCCCTCTCTCTCTGCCCCTCCCCTGCTTGCACGCTGTCTCTATCTCTCCCTCTCTCAAAAATAAACATTAAACAATTTTTAAAAATATTTGAATCGATTGCCAACTTGACAAAACTTAGCAGTTTCCTGAAACTGCATTTCTGGCTTCTCTTGAAATATTAGCCAACATGGTCCCATGGAGTCCCTTTTCCTCACGGCAGCACACCTAAGTTGCGGCCACCACATTTAGACAGGTGTAAGGTGGTTCTAACTTTTTAGGTCCCGCCTCCCTCAGTGTGAAAGTTCAAGTCCTCCCCACGACTCGCCTGTCTCCTCCCCTTCTCCGACTCTCCCCCTCTCCCCCTCCCTCACTCAGCCCTGAGGGCCTCCTCCCTGCTCCTCCATCAAGCTGGGCTGGTCCTGCCCCAGGGCCTTTGCATATGCAGCTCCCGCTGCCAGGACCACTCTTTCCTCAGATGTCCCTGTGGGTCACTGGCTCCATTTTTCTATCCTGTTGAAATCTCTGTCATCGTTGAAGCTTTCTTGAATCACGTTTAAGACTTCGAACACCCACCCCCGACTCATGGGGTTCGAGACCCTCCTTCCCGCCTGCTGTTTCTCCGTGGCATTTATCCCCGGCCCCAAGCTGTGAATGTCAGTCGCTGGCACTTGGGGAGGGGAGTAGTCTGTGCTGTTTCAACTCCCCCCCAGGCAGCATTTCAGCATGTCAGGCCGCTTCTGTTTCTGAAACAGCCAGACAGCCACTCTCCTCTTTACCTTCTTCCCCCCAGCTGCCCCCTCCTCTTCTGCCCTGGCCCCCCTTGCGCCTCTGCCCCCAGTGCTGGCTACCCCCGTGCTCTCTCTGGCCTGCGTCTGACCTTCCTGGGATCTTTGACCTTGGCCCTGGAGCCCCAGAGTGGCCTGCATCGACTCAAAGCAAACTTCTTAAAACTCGTGAATCGTTGGTGCAGTGAGGTCTGTGATTGACCAGCGAAGGGGGGTGGTTCCAGGGTCAGCTGTTGGCCTGTGTGCCAGGACCACTCAGTGTCAGCACCCAGCAACACCCGGGGCTGGATCATTCTCGGGGGCGGGGGGGGGGCGTCCTGGGCACCATGCGGCCCGGGCGGGGTGAGCAGCATCCCTGACCACCTGCTCAACGCCTGGACCACCATGACACCCACAGACGTCCTAGACATGGCCAAGCGTCCGGGGCGGGGGGTCAGGACTGTTGTCAGTGGAGGGCTTCTGTACCTTAGGGCTGTCATCGTGGCCACGAGGCTGGACCAGGCCAAAGGGCATGTAAAGTGTTCTCAGTCTCCTGGGATAGATCTGAAGTGGGACTTTTTCTAGGTCTGAATATGACCTGCTTTGAGCTCTCGGCGACCTAAGTCCCGGGGCTCGGAGCCACCACCCCACCCCCCGCAAGCGTCTGTCACGTGCACTTGGGAAAGGCCTTTTTCCGTGCCTGTGTTTCATCCACAACATTGGGATGACAGGAGTTCTGGCCTCATTCATTCATTCACCCCACAAGTATTTGTGAGGTCCCTGCTCCGTGCCAGGGAGACCCAGGCCCCTCCTCAGTGCCCCCGGGGGTCAGGAAACAGATGACAAATGCGAAAAGTCTAACAGACAAGGCAGGCTCACCCGTGATGCCGTGGGGGCGGGGACAAGGTGGCGTGGGGGAGGCAGACTGGGAAGGACAGCGGCGGACGTGCAGGCGGCTCCGGGCCTGAGAATGACGATGGGAATAGGTGGCTCAGGCCAAGGGCCGAGGAAGGAACCAGCTTGGCCGCCTTGCTCTGTTACGCACAGAGCCGGCTCTCGGTGATGGCCGGCGCCTCCTACTAACAGCACGGCCTGTATCATTAGCCAGTGCTGCGGAAGGTACCCCAGAACTCGTGGTGTAAAAACCGCAGACATCGGGGGCACCTGGGTGGCTTAGTCGGTTAAGTGTCCGACTTTCGCTTAGGTCATGATCTCGCGGTTCGTGGGTTCGGGCCCCGCATCGGGCTCTGTGCTGACTGCCAGCTCAGAGCCTGGAGCCTGTTTCAGTCTGTGACTCCCTCTCTCTCTGACCCTCCCCTGCTCATGCTGTCTCTCTCTCTCTCTCCTAGAAATACATTAAAAAAAAAAAAAAAACACGCAGACATCGGGGCACCTGGGTGGCTCAGTGTGTGTTGAGGGTCTGACTCTTGATTTCAGCTCAGGTCACGATCCCGGGGTGGTGGGATTGAACCCTGCGTTGGGCTCTGTGCTGAGTGTGAAGCCTGCTTGAGGTTCTCTCTCTTTCTCTCTCCCTCTGCCCCTCTCCCCTGCTTGTACTCTCTCTCTCTCTCTCATAAATAACATAAAATAAAAAGTGAAATGACAACCCACAGAATAGGATAAAATATTTAAACATAAATTAAAACAACAAACAGTTATCATCTCACACAGAGAGAGGCCAGGTGTCAGGAATCTGCAAGGAGATGAGTTGGGGGGCTCTGGCTGGATCTCTGCTGAGGCCACGGTCGAGCTGTGGGCGGGGGGCCCCTCCTATGAAGGCTCGACTGGGGCTGGAGTTGCTGGGTGTCCAGGATGAACCCTCGTGGCTCTGGCCTTGGGTTCCTCACCGAACAGGCCTCTCCAGAGGCACTTGCCACGTGGCTTACCCCCAACAGGGTGCCAGAGAGGGACCAAGAAGAACGCCAGTGTTTTATGTCACCAGTGTGGCCCATCGCTCGATTCTGCTGTGACCCGTTGGCCCCGGGGCTGGATCCCGGCTTCCGGCTGCAGGCCCCGCCCTGGGCTGTGAGCACCAGTACCAGGATGGTGGTCAGTGCGGGCTGCCTGGGAGCCGGATTCCCTCCCTGGGGAGCACGTATCGGGTGCCTACTGACTTCTGGTCCTCGGGGCCCAGAACATTCCATGTGCCATGGCAGCACAACTCTCTGAGACGATCCCATAAGTGAGCTTATTATTATCCCCAACAGGCAGTGTGGTTTTGTGGTCGGGCACCCAGCCTATACCCATGGGCTGTGTCCTCTGGGCAAGTAACTCCACGTCTCTGGACACATTTCTTCTTCTTCCTTTTTTTTTTTCATGTCTATTTATTTTGAGAGAGAGAGAGACAGACAGTGTGAGCAGGGGAGGGGCAGAGAGAGAGGGAGACACAGAATCCGAAGCAGCTCCAGGCTCCGAGCTGTCAGCACAGAGCCTGACGCGGGGCTCGAACCCATGAACCGTGAGATCATGACCTGAGCCTAAGTCGGACACTTAACCAACTGAGCCCCTGGGCGCCCCGTCCGGATGCATCACTGTCCTTTGCAAATGGGGAGAATCAAAGCATCTCCCTCTTGGGTGAGGCCAGGCAACTGCTGGCCGCTCTCAACTTGCAGGGAGGGAAATGCAGGTGGGAGTGGAGGTGGGTAGAGGGGAGGGGACACGCCTTTCCCAAGGTCACCCTGATAGGTCCTGCTGGCACTGAAGGCAGGTGGGGGGGGGGGTTCTGGGCCACCTCCCAAAGCGGCTCCCTTCTGGAGGTGAACGTGTTTTTCTCGCCCCCCAGGTCTGCCCCAGCGCCCCCCATGGGATCGGTGTGGTGAGCACGCGGGGTGCACCGAGCATGTGGGAAGGCAGGTGCCGTGGATCATGCCACCAGCACCCAGTGCTGCTGCCGGCGGCCGCACCCACCCGCGCCCATGGCCCGAACGGGCCCGTCGCTCTCCAGCGCCTTCGACATTCTAGGTGCCGCAGGCCAGGACAAGCTGCTGTATCTTAAGCACAAGCTGAGGAGCCTGCACCCGGGCTGCCGGGGGGCGGGCCTCCTACACGCCATGGTGCTCCTGAAGCTGGGCCAGGAGACGGAGGCCAGGATCTCCCTGGAGGCGCTGAAGGCGGACGCGGTGGCCCGGCTCGTGGCCCACCAGTGGGCGGGCGCGGACAGCGCCGAGGCCCCGGAGGAGCCCCCGGACTTGCCCTGGGCCGTTGCCAGGGTCTACCACCTGCTGGCCGAGGAGAAGCTGTGCCCGGCCTCCATGCGGGACTCAGCCTACCAGGCAGCCCTCCAGACCTTCAGCTCCAGGGACGACCAGCGGCTGCCGGAGCTCCAGGGCGAGGCCCGGGATCGCTGTGGCTGGGGGATCGCCGGGGCCCCCGGGGTCTTCCAGCCCCTTCGCTCCGATCAGGGCTGCCTCCCGCCATCCTCGGCATCCCCCTCGGGCACCCGCAGCCTCCCGAAGCCCATTGAGAGCCCCTCGGGCTGGAGCAGAGGGTGTTCCCTGAGATCCACCGGCAGTCCCGCCTCCTTGGCCAGCAATCTGGAAATTAGCCAGTCGCCCACCGTGCCCCTTCTCAGCCAGCCCCGCACCGGTCACGTGCCCAGCAGGCTGTGTGAGGAGACCCAGGCGGGCCCGGAGCCCGAACCTGCCTCCATGGGCTGCCAGGAACCTGAGGAGGTGAGCTGGCCGCCATCGGACGACGCTGTCAACCCTTCGCCTGGGGAGATAGCCAGCCCTCCGTCTGGGGAGACGGAAGGCCCCTCACCGGAAGGCCCCTCGCTAGAGGGCCCCTCATCCGGGGAGACTGCCAGCCCCCAGATGCCACCAGACAGCCCGGCCCCTAGACTTCCCGAGGTGGTCCCAGATGTGAGCCCTGTGGGCCAGCCGGACCCCCCGAAAGCTCTGGAAACGGGCAGCCACTACCCGGTGGAGTGCAGCGATAGGCTGGGAGCCCCCACGTCTCTCCCGGTGCCTTCCAGAAACACGTGTCCTGACAAGGACCCGACCCCACTCTCACGCCCTGTAGAAGACACTGCTTCCCAGAGCCCACTCCCCTGCCCACCGCCCCCCTCGGCCCCAAGGACGTCGGCGCCCTGCCCATCCCCATCCCCGTCCATCCCTTCGTCGGCTTCCCCTGCCGCCTGGAGCCCCTGTCCCCCGCCCCCTGAGCTGGAGTCGGAGCAGAAATTCTACAACTTTGTGATCCTGCACGCCGGAGCCGATGAGGACATTGCCCTGCGCGTCCGAGAGAGGCTGGAGGCCCTGGGCGTCCCCGACGGGGCCACCTTCTGCGAGGACTTCCAGGTGCCCGGGCGCGGGCATCTGCACTGCCTGCAGGACGCCATCGACCACTCGGCCTTCACGCTGCTGCTGCTCACCCCCAACTTCGACTGCCAGCTGGGCCTGCACCAGGCCGGCCAGTCGCTGATGAACAGCCTCACGCGGCGCGAGCGCCAGGACTGCGTGATCCCCTTCCTGCCGCGGGAGAGCTCGCTGGAGCAGCTCAGCGCGCACACGCGCGGCCTGCTCACCAGCCTGGTGTGGCTGGACGAGCGCTCCCAGATCTTCGCCAGGAAGGTGGCCAACACCTTCAAGCCGCAGAGGCTGCGGGCCCGCAGGGAGCACTGGCGGAGGGAGCAGCACCTGCGCGCGCTGCAGGAGGAGCGCCAGCAGCTGGAGGGCGAGCGGCAGCGGGTCTCAGCGCTCAACGCCGCCTACTCGGCCTATTTCCAGAGCCACTCGGCCTGGCAGGCGCAGATGGAGACGCTCCGGGTGGCCTTCGGGAGCCATATGCCCTTCGGGACCCCGGGGCCTCTGGGAGCGCCCCCGCCCTTTCCCTCCTGGCTGGGCCAGCAGCCGCCGCCGCCCCCCGCGCCTCCGTGGCCGGGCGGCGCCCCCGCAGCCGCCTTCCCGCAGCCCCCCGCGCCCCCCCAGAGCCCGGGGCTGCAGCCCCTCATCATCCACCACGCGCAGATGGTGCAGCTGGGCCTCAACAACCACATGTGGAACCAGAGGGGGACCCAGGCGCCCGAGGACAAGACGCAGGGCGCCGAGTGACCGACGACCCCGGCCTGGGGGGGGGGGGCGCCCCCTCCGCCCCCCACCGTGCCCAGGGAGGGCGGAGGAGCGCGACGTCATCTGCAACTTTCAGGACATCGCTGGGGCGACCTTCATCTCTCCGGAAATCGTGCAAAATGGGCCCCGATGACTTTCTGGGGCGCAAGGGGGGACCCGGAATTGGAGGTGGCATTTACAGATTCTCACCTGGGTGCTGGTGGCGGTGGGGAGCGGGCTGGGGGACGTGGGCACTGTGCTTCAACGTTAATAAATATTTATTGAACGCTTCTCCACGGCGGTTCCACTCTGGGAGACTGGCCACTGGTCCCAAAAAAGGGAACCGGAAGAGAGGGGCTCGCTTCGCCCCGGGCGGGGCATGGGTCGGAAGTTGCGCGCAGTTTCTCTCATTTCATTGGTCGGAGCGTAGTCACGTGGGTCCTTCGGCTGCAAGGGAAGTCGGGAAATGTAGTCTTCTGCGGGACAGGCTGGACCGTGTACTTAGCTAGAAGTTTTGATTCCTATATACCAGAGAACGTGGAGAGAAAAGATACTGGGAGATATTTATTGCTGGTGCCGTCTCTCTCTCTTTTTTTTTTTTTTGCCTGGAAGGGGTCCTGCCTTGATGCCCCTCCCGCCCAGTACCCCATTCTGGACTCAGATCCCACCATGTGATCTTAGGCGAGAGCCTTTGGCTTGCTCAGCCTCAGGCTCTCATCTGAGAAGTGGGTTCATGATGCCGGTGTTTCAGGGTTGTCAGCAGATCCTTTGCGATACACTGACACTCCAGTGTTAAGTGCTCATTAACTGCAGGCCCAGAGAGGAGAGGGTGAATCTTTTTCAGCACACACCTTTGAGAAGGAATAGAATGAACATTTGTTGGACACTCACATGTACGGATCCCGGAGGCTTTAAATATCTCCACGTATTTTGTTTTATTTTTTAATCTTTTTTATTTTTTTTAAAGTAAGCTCTGTGCCCAATGTGGGGCTCAAAGTCATGAACCCAACATCGAGTCACATGCTGCACTACTGAGCCTGCCAGGCGGCCTTGAACCTATTTGAATCCCCAAAATTGAACCCCCTCGGGGAAGAAGCTTATAGCATTGGGCAAATTTTACAGAAAAGAAAAACAGGCTCAAAGAGGTGAATTCTGGTCCCCGAGGTCACACAGGTCGGGAGTGGGAGACTGTAATTTCCAAGGGCCAGAACACAGAAAGGGCAAATTCGACCTGGTTGAGCCAAGAAGCTGCTGGCTCCTCCCACCCAACTGCCTCCTGCAAACATGAACTCTTTCCTCCGTTTCTCGGGGCCCAGGAGGGCGGGCAGGCTGACTCACCCAGGCAGCCAGATACCACTTGCTATTCTAGTCGCTGACTTAGATTTTGTCAGGGCTCTGCCCGGGCCTCCATAGCGCTGACGTCAAGCCTGGGGAGGAGCCCCTGAAATCAGCTTCCAGGGTGCTGCAAGGTGGGGTGGGTTTGTGGGCAGACTATTTCTGATCATCGAGGAGGGAGCTAGCCACAAATCACCGGACAGCTGCAGTGAACAGGCTCATTTGAATAACATTTATGGAGTGCCTACTGTGTGCCTGGATTGCCCTGGGCATGGGAGTACAGTAGGGGCACTCAGTACATCCCTGGAGTGGAGTCAGAGGGGAGGGAACAATGAATGAATCATCAAATGAAGCAGCAATAATTTCTGAAAGTGAAGAGCTATCAGAAGAAATGAACAGTGAAACGGGAGTGTCCCAGGAGGGAAGACTTTGGACTGAGCAGCCAGGAGGCTAAGGAGCTGGTGTTACAGCCAAGACCTGTCGAAAGAGGAGCTGGCTGGGATGAGAGGAGCTTGAGGACTGGGTGATTTTCTGGAAGGAGGGAAACATGGGGCGCCTGGGTGGCTTGGTTAAGCGTCTGACTTTCGCTTAGGTCATGATCTCGTGGTTCGTGGGTTCGAGCCCTGCGTCGGGCTCTGTGCTGACTGCCAGCTCAGAGCCTGGAGCCTATTTCAGAGACTGTAAAACCCACTCTCTCTGACCCTCCCCTGCTCACGCTGTCTCTCTCTCTCTCTCCTAGAAATAAATAAAATATTAAAAATATATATATATAAAAAGAGGGAAACAGCTCATGCAAAGGCCCTGGGGTAGAGCCCTGCCTGGCATGTTGTTGGAGGAACTGGAAGAAGACCTTGTGGCTACAGCAGAGTGGGGAACGGGGAGAGAGTGTGGAGGGCAGGAAAGGGAGGGGACGCATGACTTTGTGGGCCTGGGGAAGGGCTTGGGCTTTTCCCGCAGGGAGGTGGAAATTCTGGGGCCCCTTAGCAGGCGGGGGAGGGGAGGGGGAATCGGATTCCAGTTCTCACAGGCGTCCTCTGGTGGCTTCTCTGGAAAGGACAGACTAGAAGGGCGATGCAGGCCTGAGTGAGCCTGGGACCAGAGGAGTGGCAACAGACCTGGCCCAGGCCAGCTACTGCGGGGGGCTGGACCCATGCTGGGTGCAGAGGAAGGACAAGCGGCCACATTAAGAGCTTGAACCCCTATTAACCCCTGAGAAATCGTGAGACGTGGAACAAGTCACAGCCCTTTTCTGGGCCTCATCTTTCCCATAGGTATGTGGTCCTAGTGACTTCCGGTCTGGAATTCCAATACTTCGCACGACCCTGTGCTGCCCCAGCGTATTTAAAGGACAATCATTCTGAACCCCCTGGGCTGAGGGTTTTACAGGCCACATGAGCTTATTTCGTCTTCCCAGTAGCCCAGGGGCTAGAGACCATCACTGCCCCAATTTACAGATGAAGAAACCGAGGCCCAGAGAGGTGAAGTCATTTACCCGGGGTCACACAGCACACAAGTAGACTTTAGGGGCAGAAGAAGGAGCCGGGTGTTCTCTGCGGGATTCTCGCCCATGCAGAGATTGTGCACGCTGTTGATTCATTGCCTACATTTTTCCTTCTTAATCTGGGAAATAGTTTTGTTGCTGTCTCTGCTTGTTAATTCCTGGTTTCTCCGCCACACCGTGCGTACCCTGAGACCGCCGGGGTGGGTCTGTCTGGGTCCAGGTAGTGTTTTCAGAAGCCAGCACAGGAAGTGGCGCACAGTAATTGCTCAGTGAGTCCGTTGACAAACACTGTAAGGAGCACCTGCTGGGTGCAGCCCTGCGCTGGGCGCCGCTCTCCACCCCCACGGAGTTCACCGGTCGCTGAGTGGAAGGGATATGGATTCCTCCATCTGTTTATCCAACCCGCATTTATTGAGCTCCTTCCGGGTGCAGGCCCTTTGGGCACAGTGGTGACTCAGTGGTCACCATGCCCCCAGCGTGACGCAGGACGACCCCAATCTGTTCTGCGAGGGATCGGGGTCCACTGCTGGAGACAGAGACGATGTTGGGCGATGAGGCCCGTGAAGGAGACGTATAGGGGGCTCCGGAGGCCCAAAGGGGGCCGTTGAGGAGCCCGGGGGGATTAAGAAAAGCTTCTGGAAGGAGGAAGTAAGCTGAGACCTGAAGCCTGAGTTGGAACGAGCCTTGGGTTGGGAAGAGACTTCCTGGAGGTGGGCACAGCATGGACAAAGGTACCGGGGCGAGAAGAGCTCGGGGCTTGGGCTATGGCCACGCGCCACGGCCACGGTTCCCCAGTGGACACTCAGCCACACGTCCTGCCGCCTTGGCGCCCCCTGGTGGCCGCCACCGCCCCTAGGCCAGTGCGCCCCAGCGGCCCCGTCTGGGGTGTTTCCGGGGAAACCCCCTCTCCCCGCTAAGACAAACAGCCTTAAGGAAAAATAAGGGGCAAGTTTTTGAAAATTTCCCCTCCTTTAAAAACTGCGAGACATGGGGGCGCGGGGTGGGGCGGTGCTCAGTCAGTGAAGCTTCCAACTTCGGCTCAGGTCATGATCCCACGGTCACGAGTTCGTGCCCCACATCGGGCTCTGGGCTGGCAGCTCGGAGCCTGGAGCCTGCTTCGGATTCTGTCTCCCTCTCTCTCTGCCCCTCCCCTGCTCGTTCTCTGTCTCTCAAAAAAATGAATAAACGCTAAAAAAATTTTTTAATAAAATATAAAAATTGTGAAACATGAATCAATAACATGATTTCTTTTCGGAGGTTAATAGCTGTGTCCCTGCTTGGATGTCTTTCCGAGGTGGTTAGATCTTGTACACACTTCTCCCGCTCTCTGGGCCCAGAGAGGGCAATGCATTGCCCAGTGTCACACAGTGCATGCGTGGCTGCCCCTGGGCCCGGGCAGAAAGAACTTGAGCGACTTGGAGTTTGAATCCCGCAAGTCTTCTGCATCTCCAGCGCATGCCCACCAGAGGGCGCCCGTGAGCACCCCTAATGCTCCCACCGGCGCTGGGCTCCCACTTCCCTCGGGAAAAGCCTAAGTCCTCCGCAGGGCCCCAAGGCTCTGCACACCTTGCCCTCTCCTCCTCGCTCGCTCCCCCTCCCCTAGTCTGTATGAGGCCATGCGGGCCTCGACACGCCGGTGTGGCCCTGCCCCAGGACCTTCACATGGGCTGCTCCCGCAGCTTGGAACGCCCTTCCTACATAGCTCCCTGCTTAGCACTTTTAGACGAATAAGTAATAATGTCACTTATTATCCATTGAGCACCTTGTTTATCAGCTGCCTTCCCCATGAGGATGCGAATTTTATCTGTTGATTTCTCTGCTGGACCCCAGTAGCTGCCACATAGCAGAGGCTCAATTAATGAATTTGAATTAATGTGCAAAGCTTTTTACCCTTAACATAATCTCTTTGTTCCATGTTCCCCACGGGGCTCACAGCTCTGTGGGGAAGACAGACGCGCCACTAGGTGGTTGCAGCCAGGGTGGTCCTGGGTGTGATGGGGGACGCAGAGGCCACTGCGGGGTCCCTGGGGTTGGGGGTGGTCATGGGAGGCTTCCTGGAGGTGGCATTGCAAGAAGGAAAGGCTACTGCAGGCGGAGGGTACAGTCCCTGCAGACTCCGCAGGACGGGGAGCAGCCAGTGCGGCCGACCTGAGTACAGAACCCGAGTCATGTATGTGCTTCCCTCTCCCCCCGGAACAGCATGCTGCGTTTATGTGTGGGGCCCCGGAAGGCGCTGCACTGAGCCCTCTGCGCCACCAGGGGTCGCCATGGGACAGTGATTTCAGACTCCGGGCTTCCTGGGGCCAGGAGAGCATTCCTCCTCGGAGAGGCTGGAGGGACAGACACCCCACCCCCACCTCCACCCCGAGAGCGCCAAGTTCCAGGTCATGTCCGAGGCCCCTTTCCTCGCTTATCGCCTCCGTAAGTAACAGCAGCAGCTGTATAAACATCCTCATTAACGGGAAGCTGTTTAGCCTAAGGCTGTTGGGGACCAAAGCCCAGAGAGGGCAGACACCTGCTTCAAGTCACACAGCAACAAGCCCTGCCCCAGCCCGGCCCACACAGCGCCCCCTCCCCCCCACCCCAAGTGCCTCTGGGCAGGGACCTTTTATTTTTAACTTGGTCAGTGGATATACCGCCTTTTTATAGCCCTGGGAAGTGCCCAGGGTTTCCAATTTCCAAGGGAAGTTCTAAAAAAAAAATTGTACTCTTCCCAAGAAAAGGAGCTTCCTGACCTCTCAGAGGGAGCCTGGCCCAATCTCCTGTCCTCCCTGATGGTACCCCAGGGTCCCTCAGACCCCTTCCGGGGCTCCGTGCCTGTCCCCACCCTGCGAACCCCACGCCCCTCCTCTGCGGGGCCCTGGGCACTGGGAGCTGGCAGGCCCGGTGGCCCCACGTGCCCCCCCATCCCTTGCTGGGTCGCTGGGTCCCGGAGCCCTTTTGTCACATGGGACATGATAAGCCCGGGCATCGACCCGCCCATCCCCCTTGCTCACCTGTCTCCTTTCCTCGGGTTCTCTGCTGGCCATCTGCCTTCTTCGTTATTTAATGTCTTTTCTATTTCTTGAGTCATCTAGTATTTTTTCTTTATTTATTTTTTAAAAATGTTTTTATTCATTTCTGAGAGAGAGAGAGAGAGAGAGAGACAGCCAGAGTAGGGGAGGGTCAGAGAGAGAGGGAGACACAGAATCCGAAGCAGGCTCCAGGCTCTGAGCTGTCAGCAGAGCCCCACGCAGGGTTTGAACCCACGAACCGTGAGATCATGACCTGAGCTGAAGTCGGACGCTTAACCGACTGAGCCACCCAGGCGCCCCTAGTATTTTTCTTTAAACGACTTTAAAATTACCCTCCCCCTCCCTTTTTAATTTCTGGAATTAGGTCGTGGTGATGGTTGCCCAAGCTTGTGACTACCGTAAAAGCCACCAAGCTGTACGCTTCAAAATGGTGGATTTCATCTCAGTAAAAAATTGTAACAAACTCATCTTTATTTTTAAAACTTGGGTCATTTTCGGTATTAACATCTGTAAACACACACGTTGGGGACACTGGGGGGAGGCTCGCTATGCTTTGTCCCCTAAGACACGTTCAAATAAATATTTAAAATTTTCCAAGCTCATCCATGCATCAGATGTAGAAATGTGTGCACATAGTATGCGCCCTGTAACGACACAGCTCTCTGTGCATTTACTATGCACCAGGGTGTTGCTGGGGACAAACCCACTTATTTCTTCCTGCAATGCCAGCAGGCAGCTGTTCCTGTTAACCCCATTTTACAGACGAGAAAACTGAGACTTGAGGAAGGGCGGTAACATTTCCAAGGTCACGTGGCTGCAGTTCCAGGGCCAGATTCAGAGCTACCCCCACCACACACGTTTCGTTCCATTTTATTTAGCTTTCTTTTAAATAAAATATTTTTTATTAAGTGTCTTAATTAAGGTTTTACTTTAATTCCAGCCTCAGGCCATGATGTCAGGGTTCCTGGGTTCCAGCCCCATGTTGGGTTTTGCTCTGACAGCACAGAACCTGCTTGGGATTCTCTCTCTCTCCCTCTCTCGGCCCCTCCACTTTCTCTCTCAAAATAAGCCTGAAAAAAGAACCAGCTTTTGTTTCATTGATTTTTCTCTATTGTTTGTGCATTAAAAAAAAAAATTTAAGTTTTATTTAGGTAAGTAATCTCTACACCTGACTTCAGGCTCGACCTTGCGACCTTGAGAACTAGAGTCGCCGGCTCCCCCCACGGAGCCAGGCCAGTGGCCTCATTTGTGCATTTCCGCTCACTGATTTCCACGGTTTCCACGTACTTTGGGTTTACTTTGTGCTTGTACGTCCAGCTTCCTATGCTGGGACCCTGGACCAGGGCCTGGGATGCTCCTGCTGCGAAGGGCCCAGTAAGTCCCTTGACCCGGGGGGCGGACACCTCCGTGGGGACCGCCCGGGTCCATCACAGCAGCGTGAAAGCGGCACCGGGCCCCCCACCCCCAGCCTCCCTCCAGCCTCTTCCTGCAGCCGCAGCCAGGGGCCTCCAGGCTACACAGGCGGCATCATCTCTCCTTGGCTTGAAACCGCAGCGGCTGCCGACAGCCCCGAGTCCGAGCCGCCCGCCGCCTGCTTGTGCTACCCCGGGGCCCCCGCAACTTCCTCCCTCACTCCATCGGGCCACATGGGCCTCCTCGTGAGTTCCTTTATTCATGCAACAAACTACCGGGGGCCAGACTCTCCTCTGGGCACCGGGGACACAACAGGGACGAGCTGGTGTGGCTGACACTCTAGGGAAGGGGACACAGGAACAAATAAGGAGGCAAATAAAGGTCATCTTGGGGGTTAAAGTTATACATGAGGGTGAGGGTGGGGAAGGGAACGCACAGGGGGAGGTGGATGGCTGAGATGCTTTTAATGATCCGAGAGGGCTTCGTGGAGGAGGGGACATCTGATCAAAATTACTGCTTGAGGAGCTTTTAATCAAGGACATTAAGGGCGGGGGGGACTGCACTGGAGGATCTCAATGTCCCACTCAACACCGATGTTCAGACTCTCCCACAACCCACCGAGGGCACAGGCGCGGGGCAGGGAGGGACCCCCGCCTCCCCCCAGGAGTGCCGGCGGGGCCCAGATTTGAGCTGGGTCTTCCCTAACACCCGTGGCAACACGGGGCCGCCATCTTTGTCCAGTCCCCACCGACCTAACTCCGGAGTCCACACCCCCTTCTCCAGGGACACGCGGTTAGTGCCAGAGGTCCCCGGGACGGTCACGTCCCCTTTCCAGCCTGTGACGATTCCAAGCAGGGCTATCTTTAACCCGGGACCGGGACGCTCTGCTCCCCTCCCTGTAAACACTGCTCGGATGACACCCCTGGAATCCGGGGGGGTGGGGGCCCCAGGCGAGCTTGGCCCAAGTATCTGGGGAGGGCCTGCAGTCGCCCTTGCGTGATTCACCCACCCCGCCACCTGCTCCCTCAACACGTGGCACCGAGGACACGGCAGTGACCCACACACAGTCACTGGGCTCCGGAAGGTCTGAGCTAGGCGGGTACCCAGCTCTGCGCGGCAGGCAGCGGCTCCCACTGGTGGGGGCGGGGGAGGCCCACGCTTTCCAACACCTCGACCTTGGGCTTCAGCTTCAATCCTGGGCTCCCAGCCGGGGGAGCCTGGGGAGCCCCCCCCCCCCGCATCGCCTGCTAGGGTCTAAGGTCTTCCCACCGGTAGAGCAGCCTCAGGCAGCTTTTACGCTTTTACCCACGTTACACAACCCACCCTCACTCAGGCTCTGGGGACGTGGGCCCCCAATAACCCTCACAAGCCGACACAGGGGCATTGAGGAGCCAGCTCACCCCTCGCCAAGACCCCTGTGACTGGTCGGACCAGGAAGTGGGGCCCTGGCCTGCATTCTGCGGCCTGCCACCGGGGACCCCCCTCCTCCCAACGCCCCAGATTGTCCGGAGCCATGTGCAGGTGGGATCACCTCTCACTGGAAATCTGTTTTAAGGGTCTCCGCCCGCGGGGGCGAAGTCACACTTCTCAGCTGGGAGCTTAGAAAGAAAACCGTTTGGCCCAGAACAGCTTTCCTCTCCGCTAACACCCCAGTCGCGGGCTCCCCCCACCTGCAAAACAGGAATAAGGGCACCTACTTCAGGGGTGCCTGGGGGGCTCAGCGGGTTAAGCTTTCCACTTCGGCTCAGGTCATGACCTCGAGGTTAGTGGGTTCGAGCCCCGCCTCCGGTTCTGTGCTGATAGCTCAGAGCCTGGAGCCTGCTTCTGATTCGGTCTCCCTCTCTCTCTGCCCCTCTCCTGCGCGTTCTCTCTTAAAAATAAGTGTAAAAAAAAAAAAAAAGAACACCTACTTGATAGGGCTGCTGTGAGCAGCCGCTGAGGCAGCACATGGAACCGCGTGGAATGGTGACTGGCATACAGCAAGGGCCCAATAAATGCTCTGACGGGTGTTGTGTCCCCTGAGACCACTCTCCGGCACCTGCTGATTCAACACCCACTCCTTCCAGGCAACCACGTGTCCACAGCACAGCGGATGGGGTGCTGTTAGTGGTCGGACCCCCGTGAAACCAGGAGACGGAGCAGCAGCCTGCCCTTCCCCGCTGTCGGGCGAGGGGACCACACGGAATAATCAGCCCCCGGCCGGCCGGCCAATCCGGACCCGAGGGGGCCCGGACCGTGTGCCCGGCGCCCAGGGGCCGGCGGGAACTACTCAGCGCGCAGGACCACGGAGCAGTGCTCTCACTGTGCAACCGTGCCGAGAGCCGCAACTACACGAGGAGCCGGCAGGAAGAGGAGGCACCAGATTTTCCTCCTCGGCCGGAACCGGAGAGAGCTACCGAGTTCCCGGACGGCCTCCTGGGCCCTGCCTCGCCTTCCGGGAAGGCCAAGCCTCCTCTTCGGAGGTGGGGTTTGGGAGAAGTCAGCGGCTTTCCCTCCTTTTCCGCCACTTCCCGGTGAAATCCCACACAAGGTCCCGGGACACAGACAGAAACTGCCCCGGCGAGGCGGTGGCCTGGGGCTGGGCTCTGCGCCCCCCCCCCCCATCACGACCTTTGCGCTCAGCACCACCCTCCCCCAGCCATCTTCCCGCCCACCCCCTCCACTGCGGCCTCGGAAATGACCGGGGCACCGGCGCGGAGACGCACGACTTCTACGCCTCATTGCTTTATTCCGTGCTTCCCGCCTCGACGGAGGGTGAAACCCGGCCTTGCCAATAAATAACGTCCTAACTAACACTGCAAACGCGGGCGAGGCCCAGGGGCCCCGCTCGGGCTTCTCGAGGCCTCCGTGCAGCTGCTCCGAGACGAGGCTGGAGGCTGCGGGAGGGAGGGGCGTCGGGGGAAGGGCCCCTCCCCCGGCCGGGCCGCCCCTGCTCCCGGGCCCGGGGCGACACCGCGGCGGCTCGCGCACGCGCGCTGTGCGCCCGGATCGATGGGACACCGAGATTTTGTATCGCCCTGGCTGGGAACCTGTGGACACCGCCGTCTCCTCCAGTGCTGTCAGCGCGCGGGGCACCGGCCCAGGAACACCTACGTTCAGGCTTTCAAGCAGCTTTCAAAAAAAAAAAAAAAAAAAGCTTAGAGCCGCGGGGAGCTGCGCACAGCCACACTGCGCATGCGCGCGGGGCCGGGGAGTGTCCACTGAGGCCCGAACGCCCCGCGGTTCTCGCCGGGTCGGGGAGTGACGGCTCCGCCAGCTCCTTCGGCTTCTGGCCCGACCGTTGTTTGAAAATTGCTTCTCTTTCTAATTTGAGTGGAAAGTCGGGCGGCCCAAGTAGAAGGCGAACGAGGGAGGTTCTAGAAAACGGAGAGTCGCCTGGCTTTTGGGACCGACCCCGTGGACTCGCACCAAATTCCCCGCCACCGAGCTCACTCCTGAGAGCCTCGCCATCTCGGACACGGAAAACTCTCCCCGCGTGGCTTCAGCGCATGACATCTGACCAAAACTTCTTTAAAAAAAGAAAAAACAGGGCAGCACAACTTCTGGCGGCGCGCGCCCCGCGCGTAACCTGCCCGCTCGCTGACACAGCAACACCACACCCGCGGAAGCGAGGCGAGCGGCAGGCGCCGAAGAGCCGAGGGTGGCCTCGCTTCTCCGACTTTCCACGTCCTGACGCTGGGCTTTGCCAGCCACGTGGGGACGACGAAGCGTGGGCCCGATTCTCAGCTTCTTCCTGGTTCTCGGAAAAGAAGGCAAAAAGCTTCGATCACTCTGGCCCGAGGCAAGAAGGCAAAAAATCCTCCGGAACCCAGGCAGCGGGGACGTGCAGACGCGCGTGCATCTTCTCCCCCATTGAAGACGGGCTCGCGGGCTCCCGGAGAAGAGTGGGGCTTCGAGCACCAACAACTTGCCAATTCCTCTCCCCTCTCGGCAGAGCAGAGGCGACAGGGGCTCTGGAGGCCGTAGAGCCCTCGATCCACGATCCTCGATCCTGAGCCTAAGGGCTCAGGGTGTCTGGGGGGAGACAGTGTGGGCTCCGCCCTTCCCGGTTCCTCCGTTCTCAGGGCCCCCTCAGTGAAGCTCAATGAACGCCTCCAGCTCCTCGGGGATGAAGCCCTTGTAGGGGATCTTGTTTTTGTCCAGGGCGCGGGCCGCAAGGCACTGCAGGGTTACATAGTTGAAGGGCTGAATGGTGCTCTTGGCCAGCAGCTTCTCATCCAGCAGCTCGTAGGCGGTCTTCTTGAAGGCATTGGTGGCGTCCATGTGGGCCCCCGCTTCGATCAGGGCGTTCATGATCCCCGGGCAGTTGTTCTGGGCGGCTATGTGCAGCGGGGTGTTGTTGTCAAAGTCCCGGCTGTCCGGGTCGGCCCCGCAGTCAAGCAGCACCTTGACCACCTGGAGGGAGGGGAACCTGCCCACCGGGTAGCGGCCGACGTTCGTGGTGTCCTTGTCCACGGCCATGTGCAAAGGCGTGAAGCCGTTCTTGCCGCGGGGGGCGCACTTCAGCAGCCGGTAGACGGTCTGGTGCTTCAGGTGCTCCTGGTCGGGCGTGCACTCCACTTTCTCCAGCAGGTACAGCAGGTGGAGAATGATGGCCAGGGCCTTGGTGAACTGGGCCGAGTCCCCGGGCTCCTTGGGCAGCTGCAGGGCCCGCTCCACCTCCCGCACTCCCTTGCAGAGCACCCCCATGAGGTCTGCAAAGCCGATCTGCGTGCCCAGGCTGCCCTTGGCCGCGCGGTCCTGGAGCACGTAGGAGAAGAGTTCGGCAAAGGACAGGAAGCTGCTGGCCGTCATGGGGCTCAGAGGCTCCAGGTTGCTCTGCTGCATGTCCAGGGCGTACTTCCACAGGCGGATGCAGCGCTCGAAATTGCCCGAGTCGGCGTACACCGCGCCCCTGTAGCGGATGTAATAGGAGGTGTCCGGGTGAGACGGGCCCAGGATGCGCTCCCGGATCAACAGGGCCTGCATGCGCATCTCATCCGGGTCGGTTATGAGCGCTTCCAGCTCCTCGGTGGTGTTCACCTCCCTGGAATAGTCATAGGCCAGGACCAGCTGCGGGGGCTCGGGTTTGGGCAGGTACGCGCCGCCCTGGTGGCGCAGCTCCATGGCCCGCCTCCAGTGCTTCAGGGCCCCGAGCAGATCCCGCTTCTTATCCACGTACGTGGCTCCCAGCAGCTCGAGGGCTTCCACGGCGGCCTCCCGGCTCGTGGGGCAGCAGCTCTCGTAAGGCTCTCCGGGCGGCTCCTCTGCGGGGGAACCGCCGCAGCAGCCGGCGCCCTGGGGCCGCACGCACCCCGGGCCGGCGGAGGGGCCCTCGGCGCCGGCAGGCTGCTCCTGGATGAGGTACTCCACGATGTTGGTGTGGCCCGTGACGCTGGCCGCCAGCAGCGGGGTCATGCCGTAGCCGTCGCGCTCCATGCGCGCGTTGCACCCGAGCAGCAGCTGCAGGATCTCCAGGCTGCCGGACTCGGCGCAGTCGTGCAGCGCCGTGTTGCCCTTGGCGCTGCGCCGGTTCACCTGGGCGCCCTGCTCCAGCAGGTAGCGGGCGATCTCGCGGTGGCCCTTGTAACAGGAGATCATGAGGCACGTGTGGCCGTGCCGGTTGGCCACCTCCAGGTCGGCCTGGTGCTCGCCCACCAGGTAGCGCACCACCTCCAGGTGCCCGTCGAAGCAGGCGGCGCGCAGCGGCGTCGAGTTGGTGCGCGTGGTGCGGTTCACCGACGCCCCGCGCCGCAGCAGGCTGCGCACCACGTCCAGGTGGCCGGCGGCCGAGGCGGCCCACAGCGGCGGCGCGCCCTCGATGGTCTCGCCGTCGAAGTGCACCGAGCCGCCCGCCTCCACGCTCGCGCCGCACCGGTCCACCAGGTACTCGACCACGTCCAGGTGGCCGTAGCGGGCGGCGATGAGCAGCGGCGTCCCCCCGCCGGCCACCTCACCCGTCAGCTCGTCCAGCTCCTCCCGGCTCCGGCCGCTGAGCAGCTTCTGAAGCAGCTGCAGCTTGCCGTCGCGGGCGGCGTTGTACACGGCGGTGCGGAGGTCCATGGTCCGGGCTTCCGCCAGGCCATGGGCCGGCCGCCGGGGGACGCGGAGGGCGCGAGCTAACGCCCGGAAGGGCGGGCGGCAACCTTCACCGTCTCCCCCGCCGCCATCTTAGGGGCTTCTCCGGCGGAACAAAATGGCTGCCGCGTCCTGGCGCCGCGGGCTAAGGGGGGCGCGCCGGGAAATGTAGTCCTGGGAGCCGGCCTCCTCCGTAAGACAGAAGAGGGACGTGGAGGGTCAAGACTACGACTCCTAGAAGGACGCAGGCCGGCCGAGGCGACCTGGGAGCACGGTGCATGGTGGGGATTGTGGTTCTGAGCGCAGAGGGTTGAGGCGGAAACGTCCGGGCGTGGACTACAATTCCCATCGTGCCATGCTCTCACGACGACTTCGGGGACCCGGGCAAGTTTGAGTACGTACTTCCTGTGGCGCTCTCCGCGGCCCCGCCCACAGGAAACGCGGGTGTGGGCCGAGAGACTACATTTCCCGAGAGGCATCGCGAGCTACTCGGAGCCAATCGGGAGCGAGAATGAGGGCTACGCCGGCCAAACGGCCGGCTGTGATGATCAGGATTCGGCGTGGCGGAGCCGCTGGCCGGCAGGGGGCGCTCGGGAGAGGCGGGAAGGCTGGCGGCTCCTAGGCCGCCAGGGGACGACGCGTGTGGCCCTAAGGGCGCTTCTCCAGCGCTCAGCTCTCTTCTCAGTCATTCACACGCACGCATACATTTATTTACTCCCTCATTAATACACTATTGAACATTTAATGGTGCTTCCTTCAACACTCGACACCCCGAATACAAAATCTACACTTGATTTAGACCGCCCAAGCCCTCGGTCTTCGGACCTAGGACTTCTCGAGTATCCTTCAGAGCACAACCTCTCGGGTTTGGGGCTTCGAGAATTTCGGTCACTCGCCCAAGGACACGGAGCACGTAAATGGCAGGGTCGGGATTTGAACACGGGGGAAGGGGCTACGTTATTTGTAGGACCCCGTGCAAAATGCAAATGGGGCCTCCCTTGTCTCAAATTGATTCAGAATTTCCCTCCCGGTGGTGACAGCAGAGCCTCAAACCAAATGTGGGGCCCTTCTCAGCCTGGGGGCCCGGGTGACCGCACACATAAGTCCACGCCCACGAAGCGCGAACTGCACGCCCGAAGGCAGACCCTGACCCCCAACACTCTCCCCCCTGTACTTTGCCGCCACCTGCCCCCCAGGGTTATTGAGAAGTAGGAAAGATGAAGGATGTGGGCATGCTCAGGAGTGCTGGAGAAACACACAGGGTTCTCTCACACCTCCTGACTTCACCTGCCCTTCCCTCTTCCTGGAACACTGTTCCACACCCTCTTCACTTGCTTACCTCTTGGGCCCCCTTCAGGTATCCGCGGAGACTCCCAAGCTTTCCTGCGTCCTTGACCTGGTGGTGCTCCCCTGGATGCCCTCCTGGGCACCACTGCTGTTCTCCAGGAATCTTCGGGAAAGAGTCAGCTCGGGATGCTATAACAAACACCACATGCAGGGTGGCGGGTTAGTCCGGGTTCCCAGAGAAAGAGAACCCAATGGTACACACGGAATTGGCTCACGAAATTACGGAGCCCAGGAAGTTCTCTGATGGCCACCTGCAAACTGCAGACACAGGAAAGCTAGTGGTGTGATTCAGTCCGGGCCCAAAGGGCTGAGGATCAGGAGGGGGTCTGATTCCCAGGAACAGGAGATGTGGGCATCCCAGCGCCCGCAGGGACAGCAAATCCTCCCTCCCTACCCCCCCTTTTTTTAAGTTTATTTATTTATTTTGAGAGAGAGAGAGAGAGAACACAGGAGCAGGGGAGAGGGAGGAGAGAATCCCAAGGAGGTTTCATGCTGTCAGCACAGAGCCCGATGCAGGGTTCAAACCCACGAACCGCGAGATCATGAGCTGAGCCGAAACCAAGAGTCCATCGCTTCATCGACTGAGCCCCCCAGGCGCCCCAACCTCCTTTTTGGTCTATCCAGACCCTCAACGGATTAGATGAGGCCCACCCTCGCCAGTGAGGGCATTGTGTCTATTCCATCTACTGATATAAATGCTAGGCTCTTCTGCAGACACCCTCACAGGATTCCCCCCTGCCCCCCCCCCCCCCNTCGCCAGTGAGGGCATTGTGTCTATTCCATCTACTGATATAAATGCTAGGCTCTTCTGCAGACACCCTCACAGGATTCCCCCCCGCCCCCCCCCCCCCCGCCCAGAGTAGTGAGTGTTTTACCTGCTGCCTCTTAGCCCAGGCAAGTTGGCACATAAAATAAACCATCACAGGGGCAGACCGACAAGCATTTATTTCCCACAGTTTGGGAGGCTACAAGTTGTAGATCACGATGTCAGTGTGGCTGGGCTCCCGGAGCCCTTTTCCTGGGCGTCTGCACGGAGGAGAGCCAGCTCTGGTCCCTTGGTCCCTAGGGTCCCTATCAAGGGCCCTAAAATCTCACCAGGGAGGGCCCACCCTGTGACTTCATCTGCCTGTGTTGTGCTCGCCTCAGGAAGGCACCACCTCCCCGAGCCATCCCCCTGGGGTTTGGGCTTTGACATGTTGATTTGGGGGACACAGATGTTCAGGGCACAGAGTGCTCCAAAATGGTTTCCTGATATTTGAGGGCTGTTGGTGGAATTTCTGGACTGATGCACAAAAGCAGGAGGGAATAAAAGCTGCCTGAGGAAGGAGGGGTGAGGACAGAGCCCCTCACCTGGGCTTGGTGGGGTTTCAAATGCAAGGACCAGAGACAAAGGCAGCTATGAATGCTGCTGGGGCAGGGTCGGGGGAGGGGGTTTGATCCCAGGCCTCCGGCTTGAGGCAGAGCCTGGACCCTTAGCCACAGCAACATAAGTTCCAGCAAACCGTGGCATCTTTTATGTCCTCGGCCGCATGCAGTTTCTCCAGTCTTTCCTGTTGCACAAATGTTATACACTCTCTACAGGGTAAAAAAATAAATAAATAAAAGTCAGGAAAAACAGACGAGCAAATGAGAGAGAAAAGCTGAAAAATCTGCACCATATCCCCTGACCAGAAACAAAACTGTGAGTGACCTACAAATATTTCTTTAAAGTAAAAAGGGGGCGGGGGTCGCCTGACTGCCTCAGTTGGTTAAGCGTCTGACTATTGGTCTTGGCTCAGGTCATCATCTCTCAGTTTGGTTCATGAGATGGAGCCCTGCATGGGGCTCTGTGCTCACAGTGTGAGGCCTGCTAGGGACTCTCTCTCTGCCCCTCCTCTGCTCGTGTTTTCCCTCTTCTCTCTCTCTCTCTCAAAATAAATAAATAAATAAATAAGCTTTTTAAAAAAGAGGAAAAAATAAAATTTTTTTTAAAAGATTGGAAGTCATCTTTACATCTAACGTAGGGTTCGAACCCACAACCCTGAGATCAAGAGTTATACGCGCTCCCAAGCTCTCCCTACTGAGCCAGCCTGGTGCCCTGACCTACGGACATCTCTCTTGCATTTCCTGTTCTGTGCCCAGGTCTGAATCTCTTTCATTCTTGAGTGCCATTGAGTGTTGAAAACAACACCTTCATTTTTTTTTTTAAGTAGGCGCCCCCTGCCCCACCCCCAGCTCCCACCATCCACTCTCTGTCTCTGTGGATGGGACGCCTCTGGGGACCCCCTGTGAGTGGGGTCACGCAGGACGTGTCCTATGTCTGGCTTCTGTCACTGCGCACAGTGTCCTCTGTTACGTCCACGTGGTGGCGGGTGATGGGATTTCCTAACCCGCTTCCTGTCAATGATTTGCCTGTTCTGGACATTTCACATAAATGGAGGCACACACCGTGTGACCTTTCGTGTCTGGTTCCCTCCCTGAGCGTCGTGTGCTTGAGTCCACCCACATTGCGGATCCTATCTTCTTGAAGTCACTGTAATTCTGGATTTTCTGACCCATGGTGGGGATGCATCATCTTATTTTTAAAAATTCTTTAATAGTTTATTTATTTTTGAGACAGAGAGGGACAGAGCATGAGTTAGGGAGGGTCAGAGAGAGAGGGAGACACAGAATCTGAAGCAGGCTCTAGGCTCCGAGCTGTCGGCACAGAGCCCGACGCGGGGCTTGAACCCACGGACTGTGATTTCATGACCTGAGCCGAAGTTGGAACCTTAACCGACTGGGCCACCCAGGCGCCCCGGGATGCATCTTCCTAACTTGTCCCCTTTAGGGGGAGAGCCGGGGACCAGGGGAGGAAGTTCACACAAGATTGGGGGTAACCGGGCAGGATAGCAGAAGAACGGCGGGGATCCATAAAGTGGCTTGAACTGACCCTGGATGCATCTGCCCTCCAGAAGGAAGACTGAGAACAGAATGTGGGCGCAGCAGTGGAGAGATCTGGGGGAACCCAGTCCCTGAGCCCCGCTCCCTTCCGTTGCCCCAGGGCAGAGTAAGGACACGCCCACAGGGACATTGACTTCTGTGGTCCCTGCTTCCAACTGTGCGTCTGTCTTCCCTCCAGGCTGAGCTGGAATGCTGCCCCCGGTATGGCCTTCCAAGACTTGATTGTCAAATTTTCAGCATTTTTGACAATTAGATGTTAAACCTAGCCAGTATTGAAAACTAGATTCCGGGGGCGCCTGAGTGGCTTAGTCGGTTAAGCGTCCGACTTTCGCTTAGGTCATGATCTCGCGGTTGGTGGGTTCGAGCCCCGCGTCAGGCTCTGTGCTGACCGCCAGCTCAGAGCCTGGAGCCTGTTTCAGAGTCTGTGTCTCCCTCTCTCTCTGACCCTCCCCTGCTCACGCTGTCTCTCTCTCCTAGAAATAAATAAAAATATTAAAAAAAAAGAAAAAAAAAACCCTAAATTCCGGGTGCCTAAAAGTTAACAAATCATGGAAACCAAAACAAAAATAAAACAAAACAAACAAAAAACCAGAGGTGATAAACTCTGAAAACGCATCACAGCCTCATTACTTTACTACTTACTGGTTTTAGCCATGCTCTCTGGTGATTCGTGCCTGCCGCCTCCGCAGGGTGGAAATCCTCTGCGACCCTGACCGAGACTCGGTGATGCTACCCATCTCTTCCCAATTCCCGCTTGGTGACTCCACTCCCCAAAGCTAGAAACCATCTGTGGTGGAAGTGCCTACCCTCTGGAAACGGGCT